TCTCGCCCGACGTTGAACGACGGGTGTCAATATCAGATGCATAGTCGGCGTCGACCCATCCAGTGGGTTGGATATTTGTTTCTGTGCCGCGTCGATAGGAAAGACGATAGTCGAGAGTGCCCTTGATGTATGCGAGGAGGTGCTGTACCGCTTTCCAATGAGCAGGACCGGGATTTTGCACAAATGTGGCGAGCCGATTGATAGCAAACGCAATGTCGGGACGAGTGGTGTTTGCTGCGTGGAGGATAGATCCGACAGCTTCACGATATGGCTTGTCTTCCATAAATTTCGACTCGGCTAGAGTGGTTGCCGCCTGAGATTTGCTGAGGACAATTCCGAGTGGGAGGGGCGTTGCCTTGGGATTGCAGTCTAGCATCCCATAACGAGTGAGTACACGTTCAAGATAGGGACGAGAGGAAACCGTTATGATCCCAGCAGACTCATCATATGAGACCGTCATTCCAAGTGAAGATGTCGTACATGGGACCTCGGTAACTTCGTACGCTGACTTGATGCCTTCAATAGCCTCCTCCGCAGCCGCGCTCGACGATGAGATGCCGTCCATATCGTCAGTGTACACCCCCATAATTGAGGTGCCCGTGTCAGAGTGGCGTATGCGGACGGCTGGGTCAGCTTGAGATCGAATCCATTTGAGAGCGCTAAGGGTGCTGTTAAGCTCGTGTGCCCAGTTCCGACCCGACTGCATCATCCCATACAGTGAGCGTAACATGAGGCACACTTTGCCCTCCTGCCCTGGGACTGTGAATCCCTCGGGTTGCCGCATGTACATGGTTTCAGTCATCTCTGCATTTAAGTATGCACTGACGACGTCCATCGCCCACATCACCCAGCCGGGCTCGTTCACGCAGATTGCCCAGAGGATTCGCAGAGATTCGTACCGGACAACACCAGCGTACGTCTCAAAGAAATCCACCCCAGCAATCTATTGAAAGCCTTTCGCAACCAAGCGTGCCTTCCACTTGATTATCGCGCCGTCGGCGTCGTATTTGACAGCATAAACCCATTTACTGTCAATTACGTTTGCCCCAGGAGGCAAGTCGACAAGGACCCAAACCTCCCGACCAACTAAGGACGCGTACTCCTTCTCCATTGGCGCTACCCATACCTCGGGATGCAGCATAGCTTCCCGATAGCTAGTAGGCACCGCTGGAGTTGAAATAGTGAAGGCCGCCGCGGCCCGCGTCCGTCTTGGCCGTTTTCGCGAATTGGTCCAGTCTTCGCCTGCAGCTCGCGCTGCTGCTTCATCAGACTGGTACTCAAGCGATTCCATTACGGCCCTCGTTGCGGTTTGCGTACGTCCAGAGCGGCGTGCCATCGGAGCAGCGGAAGCGAGAGGCATCTTGGGATCGTCAGGCGCCGTCAAGTTACCAGGATCTACACCCGCGGCACCAAACTTGTTAGCGACATCCAAATCAGAGCCAAGAGAAACATGCGGTTCCATCCCATCTCCATCGTCTCCCGCATCTCCAGCACCCACATTTCCTCCCCCTGCTGGGGAGGCGGGACCAATGTCCAGCCCCTTCGTCGAATACCACGTCGCGTGCGGAGAAGAGTCGGCGCCTCGAGGCATCCCACATCTGGTAACCCGCTGTGCCGTTATAGCCGACCATCACCGTCTTGACAGATCGGGCATTAAGTTTCCCACCGGCCTCGGAGATAGGAACAATCTTCGCATAGGCAATCGATCCGAATACGCGGAGGTGAGCAATATCCGGTTTGCTTCCGTGATATACCTCCCACGGTGTCTTCCCCACCAGCGCGTCGCTTTGGGTGGAACCATTGGATATAAACCGCGGCCTCCACAGCTTTTGGCCACAACGACTTGGGCAAGCCGGAGCCTGCGAGTAGGGATCGAGCGAACGAGATAGTCGTGCGTATTCCTCGTTCAGCGACACCATTCTGTGCTGACGAGTGGGGAGTAGTCACTTCCAGCATAATGCCTTCAGCCGCGAGGTAAGAGTCCCAGCTCTCGTTTATCCACTCGCGTCCTCCATCCACTCGAACCTTTTTGACCTTTTTCCCAGTCTGAGTTTCTATCTCAGCCTTCACTCGCTTGAAGGCATCAAGCGAGGATGTTGCCGTTTTGTCTTTGAGGAAGAAGACCCAAGGTCCGCCACAGAATCCGTCGACCGCATGGAAAACCCATCGAGCTCCCCCTAGCCCGACCAACTGTGCTGGTCCCCATAGATCGATATATACCCTCTCGCCAATCTCCTTTTCCGGTTCATGCTCCCCGTCAAAAGGCCTACGCGCCTGCTTTCCAGCGAGACAGTCTTCACATAAGCCGTGAGTGTCCCCGTCAAGTACACCCATGCCGTTGACATGTTCGCCAGTCAGCAACGCCTTCATACCGCTTTCGCCGATGTGAGCAAGACGTCGGTGCCACGTCTCTCTGTCCGTCGGTGATGCTCTCGAGCTCGCCACCGCGGCAGTCACATCGGCTTGGTCAAAATCCAAACGGTACATGCCCCCTTCAAGCTTCCCCTCCATAAACGGCTCCCCGCTTGGAGTCTTGAAGACTGCTCGTCCTTTGCGAAATTCGACACCGAAATCCTTCTCGTCGAGCCGTGACACTGAGATCAGGTTGTATATGATGTCGGGGGTGTGCAACGCGTGAAGAAGTATCTCCTTTTGACGTCCGTTATAGAGGTAAGTCTTTCTGACCGTCCCGCTACCTGCGATTCTGAATTTCGATCCTTCAGCAGCGTTTCCTTGGCTCTCGACAGCTCGATAGTCGATGAAGTCTTCACGGCGCCAGAAGCAGTGGTCGGTGGCAGCGGAATCTGCAACCACGACATAGGGCTTCTGTGTCTCGATCGCAAGTGCACTGACGTTCGGGGTCATCTTGCGAGCTCGGTATTCTCTGTACCATGCGGCAAGACTGAAACCCTCTTTCGGTGTGTCGACCCATTCGGAAGGGAAGACAACGTCCTCATCGTGCGCGTTATCCATCAAGACGTGCTCTGTATCGGAGGTGCGGTACACGATAAACCGCGCTTCGCTTTGGATTCCGCTATCGCCAGGGTATGGTTGGTTCTCTTGGAGGATCATCGCTACCTCTTCCTCACGTGCCGAATGTGATTTATAATTCTCAAGGTCAGATTCGTCGTTGAGCTCGCCGAATACGGAGTCATCTTCCTCAGATTCGAAGTCGGACACGTAAGATGAGTCAGTGAGAGAGTCGATCATGGAGTATGAGGATTCGGTTGCGCGTTCGTCGGTTGAGGCGGCATGGGCAAGGTTTCGGGGCACGGTCACGTGCACAGTCGCGTCAGCAGCTTCCTGCCAGTTCATCACAGACTCAGGCGACGCAAGCACTTCTTCGCCTTGGAACCCAATGATCTGGGTACCATCTTGGTCGTAAACCCCGATTGTGGCTGCAGGGACTGTCCAGGAGATGTCAGGGTGGTTACCAGCGAATGTGTTGACGCTGAAGCGTAGGTATCGACTGCATTCGCTGTTGGGGTCGTAGTACTTCGCTTCCCCTTCCACCATGACGGCCATTGCCCCTCCTTCCCTCCTCCTGGCCAGAAGCAGTCGCCGATTAGATGCCCACGCTTGCCTTCGACTCCACATCGCGGATTGACGCAAATCAGATTCTTGCGTGCGGCTCGGCGTGCGGCGGCTGGGGATGTATCCGTGACTAGAACTTGTGCTGGTGAGTTGGTGTTTGCCAGTGCACGGTTACTGATTCGCTCGGAGTGCATGATTATTAGGCTGATCACCTCGGCCAACGTCTGTAGCGGATATAGCTGGGGAACGACGCTGTCCCATTCCTCGCCTAACGATCCAATGAATATGATGCGGAATGCCTCGTCAGTGACTTTGGCTCCTTGGTCGTTCGCGTTTCGCCACAAGACTCGCATCTTCGAGATGTGTTCTTGGATCGGAGTGCCGGGCTGGAGAAAATGGGAGACCAACTCGCGGTTCGCTTGAATGAGTGCCATAGAGTTTATGCGCTTGTGGTTGTCGGTCAACGACTTCCACGCCTCTGCAGCGGTCCCGTCTGTCTTCATTCCGAGACCAATGGGGTCTTTGACATTCAAGATAAGGAGTGCCTTGGCCATAGCGTCTCGATGCATCCATTCGTCGACGCTGGGAGTCGTCGAATATACACTGGTCGGATCGGGGGGGAGAGGAACTGAAGCAGGAAGGGTTGTCGTCGGTGGAATAGGGGGTGGAGAAGGGCGAGCTATGCTGCCTAGGATATATCCACGCAATCCGCGTGCATCGGCGATGGCAATAAACTTGGTTTCAAATCCAATGAAACCGGTCCCATCGAACTTCTCCCCGTCTGGGAGAATGGTCAAAGAATTCGAAGTCGTGCTCATGCTGAGCGTCAGGGGTTACGAGTGGGTATGACGGGATTTAGTTGCTTCTTCGCAATCGTGAGTCGTGTAAGCTTTCAGATGTGCCTCGAGTACAATGTTAGTTAGTTACGCGCGGGGCCCATAACCTGTAGACAATTGTACTCAGTCGGGGCGCAAGGAGAACGACTTAGATAGATTATCTACCTGTAGACAATTGTACTAGTAATCGAGTAAGTAAACATGAGAGTATAGTAGAATGGAGCATACCTCAGTCGGGGCGCAAGGAGAACGACTGAGGCATGCTCCTGTGGTATCGTCAAATATAAGTACTCGATCAGTGTGGAAACAGTAGTAAGGGGAACGAGGGAAATTACGGTGTTGATACGCGCTGAATAAGCGCGTCAGCTGTATGGCCAGCCGTGCCCTGTTCAACAATTTTCATTCTCTTGGTAGGTGTGCATTAGGTGTTGCACAATCTTGGAGCTACAAAGAACATTAGTACTGCAGGAGAACAGACATAGAGAGTAGTACACTAGAACAGTCTTCCCAACACCAGCTATTAATATGTGTCGGCAGATCCCAGGGAAATGGTTGGACAAAGCACCTACGGTCTCCAGAGCACCAGAGATTGCGCCCAGTCCCCTTTTTCCATCTGATAAACTGAGGAGTTTATAGAAACCATTCAAGAGTATCCTTGTGGCAGGTCTCGTATATCTCTTGTTGATGAGGAGCAAAGTTGAGTGGTGCAATCCAGTTGATAATTTTCTTTCGTGTGTCGGCTGGATTTGCCAGAGATCTGAGTGGAGGGATGGAGAGGGAGGTGGTAACATACTTTCTGATTCAAAGGGGCCGTGGTCGTAGATTCTGAGGATACTTCAGATTCAGAGGAAATAAGGGCATTTCAAGGGCATGCTACCGTGGGTTGTCCCCTGTGACGTACAGCTGCTGGCCCTGCCCTGTACCGCCGCCTCCTCCGCTGTGCCCGCCGGCTCCTCCAGGGCCCCCGTAGCCGCCTGCAGCACACGCGGTTGTCACGGGTGGATACATCGAGAAAGGGCATACTCACCGTAATTGTGAACCACAGTAGTTCCCAGCCCCGGTGCAACCTGATTCTCCATCAGTCTGGGGGGGGGTTCAAACAGCCATAGACCAAGACCGCTCGTGAGCGCTGGAGGCAAGCGTTTGCCTCGCATGCACCATGTGGCATCACGCCAGTGGCGTGGCAGCATCATTGCAGGACTGCTTCTTGGGGCTTGCCATATTTAGTTATCATATGGTTTCGGCGTCTGGGCCAAACTTAGCATCGAGCGTGCTCGTATGGGCAGCGGGCACTGGGCCGCGAGCGCCAATATACCATCGCCCAGCGTCTGTCCTTACTATCGCCCAGTGTCCGTTCGACGCACGCCCCTGGCCCGCGCCGGTGCCGGTGCCGGCGGGGCCTTGACAAAGTCTTTGTCATGTACGTTTTTTGTTTTTCGTCTTATCTCGCCTTGTCCCGCTCTGCCGGGAAAGTCCTGTCCCGCTGCAGCCTGCAGCCGCCGGCGATCGGACAGATTCAGCATTACACACAACATAAGGAGGTACACAGAAAAGACAAACAAAACGGAGACATTAAGTAGTGGCTACAAGAGCGCGCGAGGGAGCGTGGTCATGCGACTGGTATCTAATTATAAGCAGACAATACTTAAGCCGGCAAGGGCACACTCCCCGTGAAGCTGCAGCTGCAGCTGCAGTGCACGTGGCCGCCGCGCGCGCGGGCGTCCGTTCGACGCACGCCCCGCGCATTTCGGTATCACGAGCCGGATCCTTCTTGGGCCGGGTCTTGGTCTCGGGAGTTACTAGCAAGTTGGCGGAGTGACGAGCCACAGAACACAAGTAGGTACAAACAAAAGACAAAAGAAAACCGAGATAGGGCTACAAGGGAGCGTGGTATGCATGCGACTGGTATATAAATATAAGCAGTGGCCACCGAACAAGACAAGTGGGTAGATCATAATCGTGGAAAGCGAACGTGAGCGCCCTCCTTCACGTAAACCGCCCCGTGCCGCTCCCCGCCCCCACGCCCACCCACTGCGCGGAGAACGGCCACGCCGCCGCGAACGGGGACGCGTCCGCGGCTCCCCCTCCCGCGCTTGCGGCGGCGGCGAGGACGGACATCGGCGCGGGCGGGCGGCCGACCACGACCGAGCCCGCCGCGGCCGCGCTGGCTGGCCGATGGATCGGCGCGCTGACGCTGCCCATCGGCCTTGGCGCCGGCTTCGGGGCCTTCTTCGCCTTCGCGGGCTTGGGTTTGACAGACGCCCGGCGCTTCGGCGCGGCGGGGGACGCAGGGGCGCGGAGGTATCGCCTTGCGAACGCGAACGTCTTGCCCGAGGCCGGGGACCGGAGGAACGCGGGCGACCGGGGCGAGGTGGCGGATCCGGAGCGCACGGACGCGAGCGTCGACGCGGACCAGCGCGAGCGGAGCACCGGCGTGCGCGGGCCAGGCCCGGGCCCGGGCGGCGGGCCGAACACGTCGTCGTCATCGTCGTCGGGGGAGTGTGAGCGGAGCGGAGGCTCGTCGTCGTCGGAGCCAGACCCGGCCTGCGAGTCCTCCGGGAAGCTCCACGCGGACTCGGACACGGGCGACACCGGCGCGTCGAGCCACACCGGCGCCGGGGCCGGCGGGACACGTGACTCGGCGCGCGGCCACCCGGACCGCCGCTCGCGCGCCTCCTCGTCGTACGAGAACGAGGACGGCGAGCGGGGGACGTCGATCTCGGGGTAGTCCGCGTGCGCGTCGAAGACGTCGTCCCAGTCGCCGTCGAGGTCGATATCGGACGGGACCTCGGCGCTGATGCGGCGCTTGGAGGACGCGGGGGAGAGGAGGGCGGAGACGGCGGAGACGGCGGAGAGGGGGGGTGGGCGGGAGCGGGAGCTGGCCGGGGGCGGAGTAGGGCGAGGGAGAGGGGGAGAGGGAGAGCGGGGATCGGAACGCTGTCCAATGGTCAGCTACACCGACACAAGAGGCGGGACTGGACACACCGGAGGACGTCGGGGACGCCGCGGCCGATATGAGCGGGGCGTACGCGGCAAAGTCGCTGTCGCGCCACACGCTGAGCGCGCGGCTCTTGGCGCGGGGCGGGGAGCCGGCGCGCAGCGCGAGGGAGGTGGGGCGGGAGAAGTTTGGCACGACGTCTGCGGAGGCGGAGCGCGCGTGCGTGTGGGGGGAGGCGGGCGGGGTGAGGAGCGCCGAGACAGGCCGGGGCGGGGCGACGACGGCGGACTCGCGGTGGCGGCGGCGGGTGGCGGAGTCGGCGCGGGCGGGGGGCAGCGGCAGCGCGGGGAGCGGCGGGGCGAGCGCGAAGACGCCGCGCGCGTAGGACGCGTAGAACCCGTCGTCGTCGTTGTCGTCGTCGTCGGCGTCGTGATCATCTTCGGGGAGTTGGAGTTGGGGGAGGGGCGCAGGCGGGACGGGCGACGCCGACCGCGAGCGCTTCGTGATCGTCAGCGGCTTAACCGTCTTCCACCGCTGCAGCCCGTGACCGTGACTCTCCCTAACGGGACTCGGGCCCGGGCTCGTCGCAGGACTCGACCCCGCCTCCGAGCCCGAGCCCGAGCTCGACGAACTCGCCGCGCTCCGGGGCGGCAGCGGGAAGTCATACACCTCCTCCCCGTCCAGCGACACCCGCCACCCGTCTTCACCCCCGTTCTCAGCAGCAAACAGCGCGATGACGGGCACACGCAGGTCCGACACGCCCTGCCTCCGCCGCGCCTTCACGCTGCTCCGCTTCGGGGGCACCTCCACCTCCTCGTCGTCCACTTCAAGCACCTCCACAATCGCCTCCATCGTCGCCGTCCCCCGCCGCGCCGGGGACACCCGCGACTGTCTCTTCAAATCTCTTCGTGGTGGCGTAGTAGCTTGTCGCTCTCGTCAGCACCCCACCAACCGGCAGCACAGCCACGCACCATTCATCATAGTCGTATTCGTATTCGTCGTCGTCAATAGCGAGCGTAGTCGTGGTAGCGGGGAAAGAGCAAAAGTGGCCCCACGCAGCCACCCGCGGGCCCTTATACCCCGCCGCCCATTGTTCGTCCTTGTTCCTCGCACAATAGAGTGTGACAGCGTGACTTCCCAAATCGGGGTGTGATGTCACGCGCTTTTTTGTCTCGCTTGGGACGCAGCGCAATTGTGTCGCTGGCACCGGCTCGCGGATGGGCGGGTGTGGTGTGTGGGCCTGCAGGACCAGGTGCAGCGAGTCTTGATGTAGGGGCAGGGACATCAACAGACCAGTCAACGACTTCGGCTTACGCAAGCGAGCCCGGGGCACGCACGCAACAATATAACATCAGCGTCCGGGTCCCCGGGCCGGCGGCGCAACGCCCGCGTCGGCCAAAAAGGCGGCAGACGTGGGAGGTTGTTCATCAGCCCCGCCCGCGGTGTGCGTCGAACGGGCTGCGGGCCGCGGGCTGCGTGCTGCGGACGCGCATCCATCATGCTGGCGCTGTCTACAGCGTTGCGTTGTGCCGAAGCTGACGGAATGTGGTCATGAACCAGGTTTTTTGAGCAGCCACGGGTAGCAGGAAGCATTCTGATGGTCCTTACAGGGGAAAAAACTGATCCAACTTTTAGTAGTAAAAAAATTTGAGATATTTCACTAGTAAAAATGTTTCAAAACACCTTGAATTTTTTCTTGTAATTTTTTCTTAGTATGTAAAACTAGTTGCAAAGACTCAAAATTATTCTTTTACAGTGTGTGTGTGACCACCTCTCGAATGCCGGATTAGGGTAGATGTCAATCAAAGAAAGATGGCCACCGTTCATTTTTAGTAATCACCCAGGCTCATACCCAGCCCTCGTTGTAGAGCTCACAATCCTAGTAGTGTAGTTTAAAGCCGAATGTGATATAATTGATTAACCGATAAATCCGAAGTGTGACAAATGTGATGGAAAAGTGTGGGTTCACTCTACAAGAGGGCTGGCACAATTAGCCTGGCCCGTGTTTGCAAATAGACCACTTGTATACCAGTTTGGTGGGCTTCCGGGGGTGGCAGCGGAGGCAGAGGGGGTCTGGAAGGTGTCGGGACCGGAGTCGACACGTCGTTCACAGGCTGTGAGAGGGGTTGGATGTGGAGGAAGAAAAGAGTGGTGGGCAGGGGTTACGCACGGTTCAGAGCCGGGCCGGGCTAGTTGCACCAGCCCTCTTGCAGAGCACTCACCCCCCGAAAAATAATAATGCTTGTCACATCATTCTGATTTAGCTCTAAAATCATTACATATTTAGCAAAAAATTACGCTCTCGGATCTGGCTGCTCTGCAACGAGGGTTGGGTATGAGCCTGGTAATCACCGTGTTATTGTAAGATTGCAGGAAATGAAAGCTACAGGGTAGAGGTACATGCAGTGAAAATATCTAAGGAATTGGTGGAGGTTTTCATAAATCCCCCCCCCCCCAGAAAAGTGATACATGTGGGAAAATCACGTCGGCATCACTCGGCATTGCTGTAGATCACCCATACATCACAGAGAGACGTTGATGGAAGTGATATCATCAGTATACTTATATTGTGATTTTGTCATAAGTCACAGCCTGTCCAAATCTGTCCAAGCCCAGACGAGAAGCCTTCAGTAGGTATACTATCTACTACTGTGACTGGCTGAAGTGCTCAACCCTGCTGAGGTCTTGGTCCTTGGCTTCATCCAACCCTTTCCTGGCCCCAGCTACCAAACTTACAACTTGCAGCTTGCCAGTCAGCCGCGGACCCACCAGGCCAGTGTCCTGAAATGGTGAAACCTGGCCAAAAAGGGATACACTGTGGGGAAAATTAGACCGGAAGTGATAAATCGACGTTTTTTTGGGGTGCTGAATTCGAAAAATATATATATATATATATATATATCTAAAATCTAGCAAAAATTTTCCTGGCACTGCTGGGACCTGTCAGAGAAGTGGTCATACACATTTTTGTCTCGCTTGGGATGCAGGGTAATTGACAATTGTGTTGCTGGCCATGGCCATGGCACCGGCTAGCGGATGGGCGGGTGTGTGGGCCTGCAGGACCCGGCTAGGGGCAGGAGCAGGGACTGATGCATCGTTCGGCAAAGTGAGTCAGCAACTCGGCTTACGCAAGCGCCGGCTAGCCCGCGCCGGCCGGCCACGACGCCGACACCTACTATATATAGGACAAAGAAAACCCACACACAACGTCCCGACACGCATGCGCATGCGCATGCGGCAGCCTGAGGAAGAGACGAGGAGAAGCGCCTGAGACGAGGAGAAGACGCGCTATCACGTCATCCGCGTCGACGTCGAACAAGCTCCCGGCTGGTGATGGACTTCGGTGGGCGTCGAAGTGCCCCGGTGAGTAAGCACCGAAGTTCGCTGGCAGGCAGCCTTATATACCTCGCCTCCCTCCCCGCAGCCCCCTGCTCCGGCTCCTCGCCTCTCCAATAAAGCCACTTCAAGTTCCACCGTGCGCACCTTGCCTCATGTCCGAGTCGCAGTCGCAATCGTCCCCTCTGGTACGTTACGTTCCAAGCCACGGTCTCCCCGCCGTCGAGCCGCCTGCTGACGCGTCGTCCGCTACTCCCTCCTCTGCCCCCCACCGGCACCCCGCCCTCGCCGACCCCGCTTCCGTCGTCGCACTGCCGCCAGAGGGCCGGAGACTACACCACCGGCACGGTCCCGCCCGCGGTGCTCGCCCTGCGCAGCGCGGACGCGACGCTGTACATCGACGTGCTCAACGACGGCGACGGCCCTGCGGGGCACCGGCGACGTGGCCGCGGACGACGGCCTCAGGACAACCACTGGGTGTTCCGCGTGCTCGTCGGGCCCGACCCCGCGCCGTGGCAGATCCAGTTCAGCGTCGACGTCGCGTCCCCCAGCGCCGACAGCGGGCGCCGGGCCACCCGTAGCTGTAAGTTTTAGGCTAAAGCCCTATGTACAGCTAAACAGGTGCTTGCCTACACGGTTATTTCCACCTAGGGCTAGCTGTACCTAGTGATTTAGGCTATTGACTCAATAATATCAATGATGGAATAAATTATTATATAATATATATAAGTTAATAATTATGTAATATAATACTTTAAACTCCTTTTCTTCAGGCCGATGACCCGGTATATAGTTGGGAAGGCCTGTATTAACAACTTTCCTAATTAGGACAAAATGATGTATCATGAGATAGCCATCAAAAGTACTGATGGCAATCAAAAATGGTTCCACAATAAAATCATTATCTAGATAGGTGCATTGCCACAGGTGCTAGGATACCAGATAAGGAATAATAATATTTTTTTTTAAAAAGTGTCACACATGTCACTCATGTTACAAAGTGTCACATTTGGCTCTAACAGAGGCCAGTAAAGGGCTGCCTAGGTAGGGCTAATCCTCTAGGCAAAGGGTTCCCTAGCCGTACCTACTGGTTTTAGCCTAAATCTTACCACTATGGCTCGAGCGCCGGGCCGGCGCGGGTGGCCCGGGCGGCGTCCAGTCCGAGCCGGGCAAGTTCGTCATCAAGCTCCGGGCGCGCGGCGCTCGCGGTGTTCCGCGTGGCGCTCGCCCCCAGCACGACCTTCGGCGCGCTGTACACCGCGCTCGGCATGTTCCCGTTCCGCTTCGGCGTGTGCGCCGGCGCCCGGCGCCGTCGTGGGCTGCCGGTATTTCGTGTGCGTCCCCCCCCGCCTCCCCGTGGCCGCCGAGTGCTGAGTGCTGACCGCCGGCCGTCCAGCTCGCAGGCCGCGGCGGCGTTCCTCGCGGACGGGCTCATACCGACGGGCCGCGCGCACCGGGTCATGGGCGGCGGCGACCGCTCGCAGTGCACCCCGGGCCGGCACGTCTACGAACTCCTCAACTTCCGCTACAGCCAGACGCGTGCGGAGGGAGCCATAGTGGTAATATTTAGGCTAAAACCAGTAGGTACAGCTAGGGAACCCATTGCCTAGAGGGTTAGCCCTACCTAGGCAGCCCTTTACTGGCCTCTGTTAGAGCCAAATGTGACGCTTTGTAACATATGTGACATGTGTGACACTTTTTCAAAAAAATATTATTATTCCTTATCTGGTATCCTAGTGCATGTGACAATACACCTATCTAGATAATAATTTTATTGTGGAACCATTTTTGATTGCCATCAGTACTTTTGATGGCTATCTCCTGATATATCATTTTGTTCTAATTAGGAAAGTTATTGATATGGGCCTTCCCAACTACATACCGGGTCATCGACAATTATATGTATTATATGTATTATATAATAATTTATTTTATCATTGATATTATTGATTCAATAGCCTAAATCACTAGGTACAGCTAGCCCTAGGTGGAAATAACTGTGAAGGCAAGCACCTCTTTAGCTGTACATAGGCCTTTAGCCTAAAACTTACTGCTAAGGGTGGCGGAGGAGACCCCGATCGGCCGCGGCTACTTCCCTCGCCACTATCAGCAGGTCCACGATCCTCTCCTGGTGTTCCAGCCCCCGCCCGCCAGTGGCCAGGCCGTGACCGCCGAGAGTGCCACATCGAGCGAGGAGGTGTCAGGCCTCCTTGTATGTCAATTATTTGGTCTCCTTTTACAAGCCCAGCTAAACTAAAGTGAACAGGTAGAAAACAGTTTATAAACCGTGACATTTATTACCATTTAGATACCCTGGTAAGCATCAGGAAAAAAAAAAAAAAAGAACTGCAATATACTGTACTATTTTGTTTATTTTGTCTGTCATATGTCACACCCTGGCTGATCCGATGAAATCTTTTCGTCAGTCACAGAGTGCAAACCCTGTCAAGTGTTGTCATGGTTTGGGTCAGGCCATTGGACCGCCCACCCCCTGTGGGGCCATTCGGGCTCGATGTCCCGTTGCACTTCTCAACCCATTCTTCCAACCCCTTCCCTTCGCCCCTGTGCCCTACGCAGTGCCCATCCTATCTGCCCTGGGACCCTAGTAGTGCCCATCTGATTTATCCCTAATACTCCAGCATATACAAACCATACTTACATGTAGAAACAGGCTGGCTGGATGGAAGAGGGAACAAAGAAGCACTGAATTATATAACTATGAGACATGAAATATAAACTGAAGATCGAGACATAGGTAGGCGAGTGTGTGGATCTGC